ATGGAGCACTGGGTGTTATGCACAAACAATGAATCATGGAACACTACATCAAAAACTAATGATGTAATGTATGGTGATTAACATAACATAATAAAAAAAAAAGAACTTGGGCTCTAGAAACTTCAAGATTTGGGTCTGAAACTTGTCTCTCACATTTCCTGGCTGTGAGATCTCAGGCAAGTGACTTCGTCAGGACTCAGTTAGCTCTCTCTATTACCCTTGCTATTTCAAAGCACTGTGGATTTTCTCTATGAACAGTTAATAAGGTGGGCCCAGAATTCAGCTGGTACTCACTCATTTCATTGAAGTTGCTTATGTCAAAATTAGGCCAAATCCCTTGATTTAGTCTGAAGGTTAAACCAGACCTGAATTGAATGAGAGATGCAAAAAGCAATGAGCTTTCTGGGACATCCATCCCAAAGCATCCATGTCCCAGTGGAGGGAAGTTCCAGTTCCAAATGATGAATTTACATCATCAGGAATCAAGGGATTTGTGACAAGAATAGCTCAAACGTCTTTGGAATACAATTTATTGTCCCTGTTACAGATTAATATTGATTCCACCCTGCGCTTAAGCTACTTTAAAAACAACAACAACTGTTTGCAGTCCTCTGAGCCAAATGGGCAGCCAAAATAAGGAATTGAGGGGTGTGTGTAAAAAATCCAGAGAAAGAATTCAGGATATTAGGTAATTCTTGATGTGGGGTTTATACGTGCAAGGAATTGAGAGTTCACAGAAAACTATGTGAAACACTTGGACTTAACTGGCAGAAAGTGGTTTATAAATTCAAAATATCATTATCGTCATCTAAAATACCCTACAGTTTTCCAAGATAATCACTTGATCCCTCCTGGGCATTTCTATGGGGTCTGAAAATGAGGACTGCAGTAAGTCGGACGTTTTCTTTTTGAACATGATCATCATATTGTACACTTGATACTTATGCTGAGCACTCAGATCTTCCCTTTCCCTAGTATAATTTTCATCTAAGCATTCCTTGGATACTTAGATCATTCCTAATGGAGATTGTGCCGTATACCCTCTGTGGACACGTGGAAGTCTGGCTAATTGGACTGACTTGATTACAACAGTGAATTCTCCCATTTCCTTTCACTGCAATAAATGCTTAAGATATTTTTGTCACCTATTATGTAAATATTTTAGATTGCCATCATTTTCTAAAACAGTGCTTGGAGGCAAAAGCTCTTTCATCATTCTGCTCACCAGACAGACTCCTGTACTTTCAATGCACGTGCGTTGTTCGTATAAAAACCGCATGTCCTAGGAAAGTTTGAAATGAACTCATGAATAGCTATCACTCAAATTCTATAGCAACTGCAAATGAGCATTAGCTTCACAGTAAAGCAGTCTCTTCAGCCCCAGCAAGCCCATCAGGATGGCATGAGGGTGCCTGAGGTGATGAAATACCTCATCCGCAAATCGAAGTATCTGAAAAGTAGAAAATACTTTATTTTGAGAGCCTCTTGTTTGCTGTTAAAGGTTGGCTCTCAGAAATACTTTTTAAATGATCTCCTTCCTTGACGAGACTGAAGTGTCTGACCAATAATTAAATTGCTATTGTCTCTTTAAGGACTAGGATGAGTACCTGATTCCAATGGTTACTCTCCCCATATATTATACCTCAAAATTCTTTAAACTCTAATGAGTCAGCTTGCCGAAAATACACCCCAGGCTCCCATTTGAAAGTATAAAAAAACTAAGTGCTGAGTGGGGAAAAGTTTACCCTCAATCCCAGCATAAATCAGAGCAGAGAGGAAGCAGGAAAAGGGCTCCACTCTCTTTAGACACAAAAGTGCGCTGACCTCTACTTCGCCTGCCCACGCAGAGGCTGAAGGCTCCTACCCCTAACACCAAAGTGCTGGGGGCCGGGGGGTGGTAGGAAAGGGAGCACGACGTGTGCAAAGGACAGACCAGCCATTTCCTCCCAGTGCCTACAAACCGTCCTCTCATTCCTAGAGAGATTTGCTCGCCCAGGAGAATAAAAGCGCCTCTGAGAGCCAGCTCCCCAGTGAGAGCGGACGCAGGGTGGGGAGAGTTTCCTCCCGGGCCCTTGCAGAGCCTGGTGAAACCGCCCCCGTGCCGCGGAGGACGGCTGGCTCCTCGGTAGGGGCACAGCCCAGACCCAGGGATCTGAAATTCCAAAAATGCGATAAAGCCCCGGCCGGCCCGTCGGCCCCGGAGGCGAGCAGCTGCCGGGTGACCGCTGATGAAGGGGCTCCTTAAGGAGGTGGGCAGATTGATTCCAGCTGCCGAGCGAGGGGCAGGGCAGCGGCCGCGGAATGCGCAGCCCCGCGCCGCCGGAGCCTCAGCCCAGCCCCGGGGCCTCAGGCCAGCCCCGGGGGCAGCCGCTTCCCCACCGAGGGCAAGGCCAGAGAGGGGCGGCGGCTGCAGTCTGGGCCTGGCAGCAGGAAGGATGCCATCGTTCCGCCGGGTAGGGGCTTTTCGAGGCGGGCTGGGCCAAAAGGTGCCATGTGCAGTGTCCCTGTGCAAGTGGAGTGTCCCTCAGGGATCTGAAAACTGTCTCCCTAGACGTCGGTTCAGAACGGGCCCAACGGTCCAGAAGCGAATCCTGTCTGGCTGGTTCCTGTTTTTCTCCCCAGCCCACTCCCAGCTCCCGGCGCTCTTCTAACAGCTCCTCACCCCTCCCGGCCCAGCCTCCGGCGCTCCCCTCCCCCACCACACAGGAACACTAATCAATGCACCAGGGAGACAGACAAGGAAGGGGTGCAGAGGCAGAGTGGGGGACCGTGGGGGCGGCCTGGATGGACGCTGGACAAGAACACATGCCCTTTAGAAGTGCTGGCCTCCAAGTCAGAGAGCTAAGGGGGAGGGACTCAAGTGAGGGGTCCCCTGAGAGCCCCAAACTCAGACACCAAGTGATCTAAGAAGAGGGAAGGGGGTAAGAGGTAGGCGGGCATGAAGGCACGCCTAATGGAATATTCAATATCCTGCGAAATGCACTTTCGGCGGTGCGCTTCCAGAGACTAAAAGCCAGTAATGGGCTCTGGAGTCTGCACTTCCTCTCTCGCTAATGTCCAGAGGCGCGTTAATGCGGCAGCCAATCGATCAGCCTTCTCCGGTGAAGGCGGCGAGGGGGGTGCAAGAGCTTCCCACTTGTGGCCAAAGTCGCCCGGCCTCCTCCGCACGCCGCCACCGCGCGACACCCAAATTTGAACGGGCAGGACTGGACTCTCCAAGTGTCCGGGAGAGGAAAAGAAGGAGCCTGGAGGCGCCCAGAGAAGCAGCCCCCCTCTCCCTTCACCCCAACTTTTCCACGGAAAAACTTTCGCGGGGGGCAGCCTTGTCCACCCTGGGACACGGCTGGCCGGTGGCCCCCAAACCTGCTCCAAGCACAAGGTCACCGAGCCGCCTCCAAGCCCAGGGCAGCCCCAGGTGTGGCCCTTCTGGGAAGGTCCAGAAAGTGGGGTTTCTTTGCAATTTCTTGCTGACATCACAGCTGCCTGGAAAGTGACCCTGTGAATAAACCTCTCCCGGTCTCCCCACCCCGGAGGCCGGATCCCGGCAGCGGAGACGCGCCCCCCGTCCCGCCTCCCCACGCCCCTGCACCGTCGCCGCAGGGCTGCGGCGCTGGGCGAGTCCAGTCCCTCCGCCGAACCCGACCCCGTCCGGCCTC